ATATTTATTGGAATATACAACTACATAAACTTAATTCGAAGGAAATTTGTGATTTTTGGAAGAGTTCGTTAGGAAAAAAATAGATAATGGTTATCCCTGGGTTTCACCCTTGTTTATGAATTAACAATGAAACTATTTATTCCAGGGTAATACTAGTCTATCTGTGCTCTTTTATACAGCCTGTGCATTGAAGGTTTTACGTAAATATTCTGCAGATTGTGCGAAACGTGATCCAGAGGTGAACGAGGATACTGAAAAGAACTTTGCAGAACTTTTGACAGAGGAGCTGAAGCTAAGAGAAGCACAAGCTTTGGAAAGTCAGCAACGGGACGACATGGCATCACTTGAGGCTAAGAAGATAGCATCGCAGTATCAAAAGGAAGCAGACAAGTGTAGTTAAGGTATGGAAACATGTGAAGAAGCAAGGGAGAAAGCCGAAGCGGCACTGGTGGCTCAGAAGAAACTGACAGCGATGTGGGAAACAAGAGCTCGTCAAATAGGGTGGAGAGACAGGGTTGCTAAATCTCATACAAACTTGCAAGGTAATGTCCAAGCTGTCTAAATGATCCAGCATGGCCTCATAAAACAATTATTACAAAATGCATTCACACTGCTCGGTGCTAGGCATGTTGATTCTGGAGTAACTTATTGCATCTTACCGCTGAAGCTGATCTTATAGTCGAGAATTCCAGAGTTAATCCTATAGGTAGTCTAATTTTGCTCTTGTTATCTTTTAAGTATAGTTACCTTTGTTTTTCATTGTGCCACTAGAAACAGTGACATCCATCAAAAAGCTTGAAGATGTTGGTGTTCTTGGTGAGTTGTTGCTCTTGTAAGACCGTTTTAAATTCTTTTGGCATTCTTGTAAGACTCTTAAAAGTGATTATGATTTGTGATATAGGAAGAAGAGTAGTTTGGAACATAAAACTTGTTCCTGTTCCATTGAACATTGAGGTTCTCTTGACCCCATTTATAAGACCACAATAATGAATTATTTAGTGGGAATTTATTTGATCTTTTATTGTGATTAAATATTTTGAGCATCGTATCAAAATTCTTATAGTTAAAACAACAGTTGGCAGAAAATAACCTTCCAACAACATTATGTAGCAAAAATCAATAGTTCCAAAAGAATGTTGGATTTTGAGGTACAGGGCATCAATTTTTTAGTGTTGCGGTAGAGATTTAAGCAGCCTACTTAAAAGTATGAACAAGATCAAGTTTACAACACTGTCAGAAGCCCCAGCAACTCAGTCGTTGTTGAGCTTCCTTGTCTAACAAACAATTTCAACAAGCAGTATTGAGTTTGCGGAGATGAACTAGATCGTTTCGTTTGTTGCTTCCCCCAGTGAGGAGGTTGTATATCAAAATCATCCATGTCGGGGTGACCATGAAGGCGCGGTCCATGCTCGTTGGCCAAATGTAGCAGGCATATGAAACATAGATGAGGGGAGATCTCCTTAGTTGCTGCAGCAGCTTTGCAATCGGCAGGAAAGCTTGCCAAGAGATGCTTGAATGATAGCTTCTCTACAGGGATCTTCACAAAAGAAAACAAGCTGAAAGTTAAGAGTGATAGCAGTGAGTGCCCCGATCCTCATTTTTGACTCCGACAACATCAACGTTAGATTATCAGTCAATGAAAGAAATCAAATTTCTAGGGGACCAAATCAAGTTCTCCTTTCATTAACCTGCTTTGATTTTATTATTCATTAAACATGGTAGTGCTATTCAGCTTCATTTTATAGCTCACCTTTTTTATATACCCTTTCATCTCCTTTTTGTGAGTGGCATTACTTAACGTTTTGTGTTTGCACTCCTAATGGTGCAAACAGTACGGATGAATTTGAGGCCTCCAGGTACAGGTAAAGCCAATTCGAGGATATTCTAATCACTTACTATGTGAGCTAACATAAGGATGTTAAGATAACTATCATCTATGTTTTTAGAACAGTGTTACAAAAAGTAAAAGAAAACTGGTACCTGAAATGATGTTTCTTGAGATTGTTGTATCTGATCCCAAAGAGTTTCTTTCAAAGCTTGGACATCAACTTGTTTTGATGTCTTATCATACTCTACTTCAATTTTGCTAACCTGAATGAGGAAAGTGAGAAGTGAGAACCATAAAATAACTAGCATTTAACTGCATATTTTAATGTACGAGATAAATTACAAATAACCCATCCCAAAAACTCGCAAAGCAGTAGTTAAGGTTGTAAATTGTAATTACTAAAACAAAACAGTAACTACAATTCCTTGTTTCAGTCTAGAGGGGACCATCAAGGGCAGCATGGAGAAACACAAGAAAGCTAAGAGAACAACCTGTCGAGGCTGAGAAACAAGCATGCCGGAGTCATCAATATCGCTATGATCAACTTCATCATCAAAACCACCAAATGCACCTTGCTCTTCCCAGGACGGCTGTGGATCATAATTATCACACTGTTCCCTTGATTCATCTGAAAATCAAGTAACATGTGAAGATAATAACTATACTTCATTAAATGTTCTACATTTTATAATCAATAGATGCATTTGATCAAGATCCCTTCTTTTTTAGCCATGAGACAAGATGTAATCTATTAGATACAACGCAAGACGGAACCATTAAGATGAACATTTTTTAAAAAGCAAGTTCATAGTATGCATCGTGAGCCGAAAAGAATAGTTTCCATAAGAGAATATTTTAAACGAATCAAATTACATATTTTAGAACATTTTAAATGAATCAACATTAACATTGTATCCTCTATGCTAAAGAACAAGTAAAAACCATCTTTTCAGCTTTAACTCATTCAAACAACAAAACTCCATCCGTCATGATGTGAGGAAAAAAATTACAAGAAACAACTAGCGAAATATGACAGACTACAATGTTGTCCCTATCAACATGGGAAAGATATATTATACTAATAGGAAGTTCACAAACATTCAAGAAAAATACTACCATTTGAGAAGTATCTATGAGAGAATTACCTGGCAACTTCCTTCTCCTCCTTCTGCCAAGGCACTGCAAAAGAACGTCTTATTAAAAGAAAATGAGAAAAACATTTGACCAAGTCATACTTTAGTAGCAAACTTGTGATCGCACATTACCATCACATCTGGTAAAAGAAACAATTTAACAAGATCCTCAGGTTGATAGTTGCAATCTTCAGGAAGCTTTTTATTACAAGGTGCTCTATTCGAAGGTAGCAGTAACGACTTTAGATTTTTAGGAGGAGCAAAGATGTCTGGCACTTCATTATCCAAGGCTTTTGTGAAATCAATATCAGGCTCAGTTTGTTTCTTATTTCTGGCTTTCTTTGTTGTTAAGGTTGCTGCATTTTCTTCATTAGAGACATCCACAGAACCTATGGTATTCAACGCACAAAACCATGTTATTGAGCCATGAAAGGTAAAAATGTTGATAAAATATAGCACCTGTCACTAGCTTCGCGACATATACCTTTAGTTTTTCGATATTTCCAATGATCAGGACCGGCCCAAGCATTTTGCTTCAAAGGAAATCCCAAGCTCAAAAACAAATATTCATCAACTTCTTCAAATATGCCATCTGCATCGGGATTGTTGAAAGAAAATTGCTCTGTATCCTGTGAAATTCAATTACGATTAATAAGCACATAAATATATTCTTAACCACTTTTTTTTTATATAAGAATTCTTAACCACTTTAAACTATTAAGAGAAGAAAATATGTTAAACCTCATGATAACTCATGAAAGATGGTTCCATTCCATTAAATTCCTCATCGACATAGCTTGGCTGGTATCGGTTGAATTATGTTCTGTTAAGGGCTGTTTCTTTCTGGTTTTGTATCTCTTGAGGGAGATTAGTTTGTATTACTTTGGTATTATTTGAGGTTAATGAAATCCTAGGACACTCTTTTTCTCCTTTCGCTGATTAAGGAATTATTTTCAAGTTCCGTTAATCATGAAGGGGTATTTTAATGAGACCTACTATTCCTATAAAAAAAAAAACATAGCTTGGCTGGTCAACATGATCAAAACCATCAGTTTCTAAACTCTCAAACGCAACACCATTGAACTCATTTTCATTATTTATAGTGTAAGCTTGGTCTGCTGATCTCTGACTGCAGGAAAAGTTCTCCAGTGGGCCTTCTGTTATCTTCATCAAATTGATTGACTTTATTCTTGAGAGTCGGTGAAATCTCATCCTTTGCTTGCATGTTCAATACCATACGCTCAAGGTATTCTGTGACAGATCAAAGAATGGTAGTAACAAATATCAATACCTACTTTTCTCAAATAAAGATGTGAAAACACACCAAAGGAAACCAAAGACAAACCTTCGGAAAAAGATAGATCAATTGTTTCAGATACATCATGTTGATTTGAACAAGGAATTTCCTTCCCTGGAACTTCAAATGAATCAAAAAGAACCCGACATCCAGCATAAACACCAAGATTATTCAACAAAAGACCTTTGGCTCCACCTTCATCAAACTGTGCAGATGTTTGATGATATAGAGGATCCACTGCAAAGGCAACTGAACAAAAAAGATGGTGTCATAATCAAAGCTTGTGCCTCATACTGGAATCAAGATTGTTGGTATGTGTATTTACCATAAAATTTCTTTACATTAAGAACGTCAAAAGAAGATTCCAATGTTGATAAAGGTGACATCTGTATATATAGACAATCGTTAATATAATGTTTGAGTTTGAAATTTCTTTGAATTTAAAGACCACAAACCTTTTTCTCTGACTCTTTCTTTGGATTGCCTTTCTGTGCGGTGGCAGCATTGATATCCTCCATCCCAGAATCTGGCATTGTAACATAACATCACCTTTACCTAAAATCAGACAGATAAATCCGAGCAGGTCAACAGATAGAAACCTGACTATAACCTATTCTCATTTTCCATGAAAAAACTTATTGATTAGTCTGCATCAGTTGAGGTTCTAGAACTTGAAGTCGGTATAAAATGTATGTTTAGACTTTGGATAGCATAGGTGGATTAACTTGTCTGTTTTATCTACCATCTACTACTCAGTGTGTACTTATAGAAAATGATTAGTTAGGTCCAAAGAGTTTATCAACAACAATGTCTGGTAATATTTGTTAAATGTTTAACATGCAAGCCTTTGTACAGACTCTTGCATTTCATGCCGAGCAATTGGGCAGATTACACCCTTAGCATAGCCTGCTCCTTTAATTAACAGGTTTAAGAAAAACAAGAAGCTAATATGATTCTGAAGAAAAGCAAATGCAACAGAGAGCTTATGTCGCGATATGTCAAATCAGACATACAAAAAGTGATAGAGAGAAATAAGGAAGGCACCAGCATAAAATAAATCTAACCTTGCTCATTATCATAACCTGCCTGTTTATCCCACCATGAACCTTGTATGCCTCTGAATGAACCGAATCCAACCTCGACGAGTAAATCTTAACACCAGCTTCCAAAGTACAACTGGCCTGTACAAAATATATTGCAAGTCCTTCATTAAACATGAAGAAACAATGTTAATATAATCAATTAATCAGGCTATAATTGTTTTAGCCTTTTTCTCCTAACATTTCTGATAGTTTTGGCTTTCACTGTTACCACTGGACTAAACAATGGTAATATAATCAATTAATCAGGCTATAATTGTTTTAGCCTTTTTCTCCTAACATTTCTGATAGTTTTGGCTTTCACTGTTACCACCAGACTTAACAATATTAGACATAGACATGAATACACAAATGTACGAAAACCTATATAAACAAACTCATTAATATATAAAAAATATTTATGCAAGTATACAATAAACACAATTATGACACAACAAATTATGTGAACACGACAAGGATATAGGAGTTTTTTTTTTTGATAAAAAGAGGAGGCCTCGTTAAAAACCTCCTTCATGATTAATGGAATGCCTAAAGGAATTCCTTAATCAGCGGAAGGAAGAAAAGATTACCTCAAATTTTATTAATAAAAGATTAATACATATAGAAGAATACAGCCAAGATCATCCCCCTTACAACTGAAAACCTGAAAATCAAAAAGATAAACTACCCAAACAGAAGATCCCCAACTTAGCCAATACCAGACATAGCTAAACCGTCAGCCTTGATATTTGCTGTCCTAGCTACCCAGCGAATTAGACCCTCCAAAACTCTTAACCTATCAACAATATCCTTAACATTATTAACAAACACATCAGGACATTTATCCAGATTCTTTACCCACTCCACTGACAACTTGCTATCACTTTCAATAATTAATCATTTCTTGAAGCACCATCGAAAGGAATCAAAGAAAATTAAACCCTGCTTAAATGCCTTAAGCTCCATTAAGGTAGGTGGACCTGGACCAGCAGCTTCTTGGAAAGAACCTAGGACCGAACCAGTTTCATCTCTTAAAATCTCGCCTAGTCCACTTGACTTCCAATCACCACTGACAGTTGCATCCACATTCAACTTTAGAAAGCCCTTGGGAGGAGGGGATCAAGGAACCTGTTTAGCTAACAGATTTTTGGAATTCAAACAGAAATCCCAAGAGATGGATCACTAATGAGAAAGTCTTTAGAAATTGAAGCATCATTAAACTTGGCTAAGTACCAAGAAGCAAGCCTAAACCTTGCAGTAAAAAATAATTCAGTCTGATCTAACATCCCCCATAAAAAACAATAGCATTTCTATACTTCCAAATTGTCCAAAGAACAACACCCGGAATGAAGGACCAAATAGTTGAATGAGACACCAAATCTTCCCAAGCTAAAAGAAATCTTTGTGCATTTTCGTAAAAAACTGAAGTGATTTTCCACAAATTCAGGAACCTAATCCACAGATTTCACACAATTGAGCAGGTGAAGAATAGGTGTGAGGAAGATTCCAACTCCTGTTTACATAATGGGCATAAAACGTCCACTATTCCCTGAACCCCTCTCTTAACTAATTATGTCTTTACAACCAATTTCTGATGAACAACCTGCCACAAAAAGGACTCCACCCTAGAAGGTAACAACCCCCTCTATAAGAGGCTCTTCCAAAAAGGATCAGCATCCGAATCATAGGAGCACGACTTCACACAAGAGCTGACAGTGTAAAAACCCTCCCTGTTTCCTCTTCAAATCAAACCATCCCTCGAAGCTTCCGAAAGACTAGTCTTATTAATGATTGTCAACAAATCTATCTATTGATCCAGTTCCCAATCGCTTAAATTCCTTCTCATCTCAACATTCCAAAACCAACCTGCAGTACAAAATTCAGTAAACTCAATTAACTTACCATTCTAATTTGTAGAAAGGGCAAAAAGTCTAGGAAAAGCAACTTTGAGAGAAGAATTTAACACGCAAATGTCTTGCCAAAATCGAATGTTCTCGCCATTGCCAACTTGGACTTTAAATAAGTTGCGAAACTTGGAACCAAAAGAATCTTCTTTGAAATGATTATTCACCACCAATTTCCATAGCCAAGAACCTTGAGCCGGAATCTTACCGTTGAACAACAGTAAACTCTTGTCAATATTGTACTTGCTGCATATCATCTTCCTCCATTTGGATTTTGTATCATTTGCGAACCTCCAAGACCATTTCCCAAGAAGAGCTCTATTCATAAAATTGAGGTCCAGCACACCCAGACCACCATTCTCTTTGACTTTACACACTATCAACCAATTTACCCAATGAATCTTAATCTTCTATATTCCTCCTCCCCATAAGAACCTTGCCATAATGGAACTGAGCTTTTTATAGGATATAGGAGTTACAAGGTCTAGTTATAAGCAACTGGCTCAGCTCACATTTACACAACAGGTACTCAGTCTGACGCAGTTGAAAATGCAGATGCACTGATCCAGAACAACATAAGTAACTTCTTGTTTCGGACTTTCAGTCTAAATATTGATCTACTTCCGTATTAGATGGTAAAAAACACTATTAATAACTAAAAGGAAATGCCTTCTCTAATAAATAAGAAATAAAGGTGAAACATAATCCTAACTTAATCCACCTATTATAGTCCCCAGCATTAACCTAGGAATTATTTTATTGATCTTGTTATCGGGGATAATTTTGTATCTTGTTTATTCCACTTCCTACCTTATTAAACATAAGAAGGAAAAAAACGCTAAACATACCTTTTGAAAGTTCGTCTCCACATCATTTTCTTCTTCAACCTTGATAATGTCGCGAATATGGTCTATTAAATTCAACTCCCAAGTATTCTTTTGATTAATTTTCTGCACCACGTTAAAAAAAAGTAAAATAATAAATTAATTATACATAAAATGACATTAGAACAATTCAACCACCAAAACTCAAATTCTACCGCTTACTGTTATGTTAAATTGAAAAAAAGAAGAAGAATGCACAGATTTTAAATATCATTTACTTAAATCTACAAAACAAAAACTCGCATTAATGAGATAGAGAGAGTGAACGGGAATTAGAGACATTTTCACTGATCAATTTGATGCAATTTTGGAACAACTTGAGAATTTGATCTTTATAGAGGCAAGGATCGGGATCAGTCGGCGGCTGAGCATGGGAAGTTACGGGCTTGCGGCGGATAGCATCGGCTCGAGCCTGCGCACGCTCGAGTTTGTCGTCGTTAGAGCTCAAGAAGAATGGGCTTGTTGGGGACTGGAAGCGAGCAGCCATAGGGATCCGTGGCCTAGTGTTAGGGCTTAGCGCTTCGGCCATTAGCTAAAGGAGGTTTAGGAGTTTTTCTTCTTCAACAGTTCGACGGCGCCTCCTTGTTCAGAGCTTTTGCAGTCTGAAATTAGCAGAAAAAAGACCATGAAAAAGGGAAAGAGGAAAAAGCAGTTTTTTCACTATCTCGTTATAAGAAAAAATTAAAACAATGGTTTGAATCTGAAAGACAATTTTGTGGTTCTAGTTACGTACGGAGTCAGAGATCGATGAATCAAGACCGTGGACTTATTTTATTTTAAGAGTGTATTTGATTTACGGAATGTAAGATTACCACTGAGAATAAAAGATTACCAGAGAATAGGATTACTGGAAATGTTACATTACTGTGTTTGGTTGATTTGGAAAGAATGTTACATTACTATGTTTGGTTGAAGGAATAAAAGATTACTAGAATGTATATTTTACCAAATTGTCATTGTTCTATATTTTTTAACAACTGAAATTCTAAATATTCAAATAAAAATTATTTATATAAAAATTCTATCTGTTGATAATATATTACTTGAGTATTTAAATATATCATCTTTATTTTTATTTTAATTAATATTAAATTTTACATAATTTATGTAAAAATATATTAAAACTTTACATCAACATTTAACTAAATGTTTACATTGTGGAAATTAGCTTCGGTTCATACGTGATACATTCATTGGGAGATTTCTTATATTTTTCAATCGACAAGGTTTACATTCTAAGTAGGTGAATCGCTGACGGCCAACAAAACCACTTTATTTTCATTAGCACTGTTAAATATGAGTTTATGAATCATAGAGAACAAAGAATATCCTTTGTTAAAAATCATAAGCAAAAGAACAGTTGGGTTGTTATTTTCTTAGACATTGAGCCAAGAAATTATGGAAAAGAGAATAATGAAATGAAGTGAAGTGAAGCTTAACATGTCCTTGAAAAACAGAGTTGTTCTGGTCCAAGATAGTGAACATAAGAATCGATTCTATTTCGAAGACATATAGAACTAACCTTGCAAAAAGAATGTGTCGCGGCCGTTTTTCAGGTGAGTCTCGGAATTGGGCTTCGACGTGATTAATTGGGTTAGAGTCGTCACTAACCATTTTAAAAATATTTAGGTAGGTCAGACACCATCTTATATGATTTGCGTTTTACTAGAAACGTGTCGGGTTTGGGAGTCGGTTACGATCAAAGAAGGATTAGCACCCTTGAACCGCCCTTTCAGTACTAATTTATTTACCGGTTGTCTTTAATTGCGAAAAATAAAAAAATTTAAATTTAAAAACCCGATTCGAATTACTTACCTTTGATCAAAAAAATTCTCCTAAAAAGAGCCAAGAATATTGTCATATTGTAAAATAAAAAAACTAATAAT